TATATATATATATATATAAGCATAAAAAAATGGAAAAAAATCTCCTTTTTTAAACGATACATAGAAATTAATTCAGATTGGAACAATCATGTAAATCCTTAAACACAGAAGAACGAAAAGGTAATTATGAGAACGAGGATATCTTATAGCGTTTCTCGTTAGATTATTTCAAGGGTTAACGCGCACAATGCTCTCGAAACGGCAGCCGTATATGTACACAACGTTGCACCGGGAAACCGCACGGCGATTTGGTTCATTATCGCGACTGCTCGCGAGGCGAACTTAGACCGCGAGTTCCATAATTGCTCCCTGCGAAGTGTTACATCCGCGTGTGCGCGAAAACAAACCGAATTGAGTAAGGCGTTCGTGACCGGCGAAAGTTTGCATTAATGATATTACGCCCCATGTGCTCGTGTAAACAAGATTCTGTCGAGGTATATATAGGTGAATATATATAGGTGAGCATTTTCAAAAGGTGATCTTTCGCGGAATTAAACTGCACGATCAGATCAGATAAGACTCGGCGCCGCAAAAGGTAAAATTATACGCGGTAAAATAATATCACAACAGGCTCTTTTAGCTTAGTTGCAATAATAATAACAATAACAATAACCGATGGAAAAAAACATGAAAGGATAAAACAGGATATTACGTTAAAAATAATTACAACGCACGGCGTTATGTCATAATCATATTATATTGCTCGCGCAAAAAAAATTCATATCGCTAAAATGAAATATCGGATTTATTATATTTGCACTAGCAACAATCCAGATATTACTTAACAATCATTGTTAACGTCAAACATTATTCGAATGTGTTTCAGTTACTCATTATTTTGTAGATATATAAAAACACAAATATGGAAAGTTGTTTTTTTTCTCATTTAAACATTTAACAAAGTCGTGGCTTATTTCGAGCTTATAATTAGGCTTTAAATTAATACAATTAACATAACAATCTTCTTATTTTCTTCTGTCTTAACACATGTCGAATCTTATATGAATTGTTACCACTGATTTATAAATATTTCATTATATATGCTATCTAATTGATTCGTTAATTTAATAATGTATTTTTATACACTGAAGAAGGCTTTGCAAGCCGAAAACGTTTGTAATTTTATATTTGTAATTTTATATTATTTTATTATTAATTGTATTTAGATTATTATATAGTATTTACATTGTTATGTTAATTGTATTAATTTAAGTCAGTCTAATTATAAGCTTGAAATAAACCACTTTGTTAATTTGTTTTGAAAATATACAAGCATTTTCACTCTAATTTTCTCATTTAACTCAACTTTGTGTCACTAAAATTTTCTTATACATATATTTTATTTTATATTTTACGGGATATAGTTTTCTCTTTTCTTTCGGTTCACAAAATTAAATAGTATATAAATATTAGGTGTATATAAATATTAGTAAAAAGAAATCCATTATTTTTGTATGAAATTGAATGGATTTCTTTTTACTATACCTAATATTAATATGTAGGTTATACGACTCGGAAACCGGCTTTTTTTAATTTGATAAAATAAATAAAGGAAAAACCTTTATCTATTTAGCTGTATAAAATTTAGTTCATCGAGAAAAGTCCCATCTTCATATTTTCTTCTATATTTTCGAGCCTTATCTTCATATTATCTTCTATATTTTTAGTCGTTAATAATTCGGTAACTGTTTCAAAATGTTGATACAAGAATATTTTACATTTTTTCTGTTTATTTCAGTAGAAAATAAAGTGCGGTCAGCAGTAAATTTAGAACTTTCTGGGTTTACAGTGGTAAAACCATAACTCATGTATTACATTTGGCTCGAAATTTAAAATAAATCTATCTTGTATCCACCAAAATATAGCCTTAGGTCATTCTCACCAAGACACAGAAAGAATGTGGAATTTCAAAATAGTACTTCGAAGAATATAATTTCAATATTCTAAGTTTAAAATGCCAATTCAAATATTCAAATATTTTTCCGGAAAGAAGAAGAAACGAAGAATATGATTTTTTTGCCAATTATAAATATTCAATTTAAATATTTTACATATATAGGATATAATTGCATTAATCTTTGAATGCAAAACACAGAATTTTCTTTTGTATAAAATAATCACAAAAATAAAAGAAGACAACAAACGTATTGAAATTGCATTGATCGAGTGCAAAACTCATGAATTCTCTTTCGTAGATAATAGGTTCGCATTGTTTGAAATCCCCAAACACTTTTGCACTTAAACGAAGATAAATATATTCGGACGTTGAAGCGAGAGAAAGCAAAGATGCCGAGTGCAAAAAGTACAAACAACGCGATCAGATCTAAGAGTAATCACAAAAATAAAAGAAAAAAACAAATTTGAAATTCATAGCTTATCTATTCTCTTTTCTTCTTCCTTTCCTCGTTCTTTCCTCCTCTCTCGAATATTTTCCATCTACATTTTTTTTCTGTAAATCCGTTGTGCTTAATTTTTTCCTTCATTTTTTTCTTTCATTTTCGACAACTAAATCCAGACTTTTCTAATTATATAATAATGCAAAAAATAGTGTAAGAGCCAGCAACTGACCTCACGTTTGGACCCGAACGTTTGGATCTTGTACGCTCGGAGTCACGTTCACCGGTTCATCGTGCATCATACATATATATGTAAAATGCGACCCATAATATCGTCGCTTTGCGATAAAGGAAAAGAGACTCACCGAGCGGCGACGGCTCGTTCCGCGTGCCTGCTCGTCATCTTCGAAGAATCCTGGGCCGATCGTGCTGCGTGGGAAGACTCACGGCGGCGAGCAGATCACTCCATGCCAGGCACCCCGTGCGGTGGCGACGCGCACACCAGCCTTCGAAGCAGAAGACGTTTTCTCTGGAGCGGGCTTCGTTCTAGCGGGACGAAACGAAACGCACCCGCTGATCGCACGCGAATTCCGAGCGTCACGTCACGTCAGCGACGACTTTCGCTCGAACCGAACGATCGGAAGTTAGCCGCACGCCAAGTTCCGCGCGGAATTCAAATCGAAACTTCGCTCGCCTCGCGATATCGCGTTTCCCTTCTCGTCCTTCTCGTATACTAGAGACCTTATAACAGAATCTGACCATGAGCAGTTTTGTCAAAACGAGAATATGAAAGAAGGGATATATATATATATATATTGTCTCTTTTTATATTATCTCATTCTAACTTACTGAAGTTGACAAAAACGATAGTTTAATCAAAAGTTTGTCATCTTGTGGTTCAGACTCCTAGTGTTTTCCAGCAAGGACACAGTGAATCATTTCATCCTTGTTTAACGTTGACAAACAACAAAGTAACGATTCACTAGCTCAAGTTCAGTAGACTCAATAATTGAGTAAGCGCTCGCTGCTATTGATGTATTCTTCGAGGGCTAAAAGTCTAATTGGATGATCTAGAAAATGCAATACTCTTGCTAGAAAACTCCCACTGTTATAGAATCTTTGTTCCCGCACAATGGGCGTGTAGAAGGTAGATAAGTTATTTTTAATCTCTTAAGAGCTGAAAAAGATCTTTCCGCAGTGCAGAATGTTGTCAGGATTGTAAGCAGGAGTTTTATTTACATTTTTGTGTTCTGATATAATTTCTCTCACGGTTACATCTTTTTTCAAAAAATTAACGACATCTTTTAAATTAAATTATGGATCCCTATTTTCTTGACCTCCATTATATTATAAAACATCGATGTAGTTTTAATTTGCTCCTGTCAAAATCAATTTTATATATTGTAATAATGCGATCAATGTCACTTTCGTTTCATCGAAGCGCTACATTTGGGCACTAGTGAAATACCAATCGACGGTCGTAAAAGAGGCAACCGCCGATCGAGTTGTAAACACGTAACTTTTTATATATTTAGTCAACTTTCATTTTTATTAAAATAATGAATTATTTCAAAAAATAATTTATACATTCTTCGGATTTCCAAGTGTAGATTTCCATGTGTAGTTTCCAACATGGAAAAATTTCGAACGTGAAATATTATACTTCTTATCATCTACACTGTAGTCAACGCCCATGACAAGAATATACATACAAATAGCAGCGAGCGTTCACTCAACTGTTGAATCTGCTAAATGCGTCCATTCTCACGTAAGAAGAGTCCCAATTGTCCACATCGTCAATTATTTTCCAATATATCACTCAATTTAATATAAAATTGGATGGTATATTGGAAAATTTCTAAACACCAACTGAAATAAACAAATGTGTCCAATTGTTGTGCGCATGTGGAACCCTCTCTTCACATGTATTTCCTTTTTCTTCTTTTCTTCGAAAAAATAATGATTTTTCGCGATAAAATATTAATCAATTCGTTTGTTTTTTCCATCATATCTCAATTTAGATCAAAGAGATATCCGTACCAGCTCAATTCATCTTCTAATACATTAGATACGCGCGAGGGAAGGCGATATGGCGATTAAGAAAGTAATTACACTTTGATCAAATTACTTGCTTTCGATTATATTCTTAAAAGATCGAGTCAATTAAACGAAGACTTCGCGCGAAGACTTTGATTTACTCAATACGTTACATATGCGAAGGTAGGCGTTTGCAATTACGTTCCCTCCATCTGTCGCGTCCAAACGACCATAATTGCACGCACATGTTCGTTAATCTTTACTGGCTCGGAGTAATTAATAATTAATCATTCGAATTTGTGGGCATAATTAGCTGGAATTTAATCGACTATACGGATAAACTGATTCGTTACGTGAGACATCAAAGTAACTAATAATATCAAATATTATTCAACCGTAAATACTTTCGGAAAAATATGAAAATGAATATCATTAAATATGCAACCAAACAGATTTCCACGTAAATAAAACATTTATCGCACGAATCCGATGAAGAAAAAGAGTTATCGACGTTCTGTAACGTGCTTTTCAATTTTGCTGTATTCAATAAAAGGTATTCTTTCTAATAGTTGTAATAAGTAATTATAACATCTTTATACGGCTTTACAAGAAAAATTTTATCGACATGTAGCCAGCAAATGAATTGACAACGACAATACATCAAAAATAATTGCTTTTCCCATCATACATAATAATAATCTCTTTAATAAACTTTATATATTTTTCCCATTGAAAGAAATACTAAATTTTAATAAATATTTGTTAGATAATTCTAAATAAATATTAACTAAATGTAAACATATATTTATAATTTTAAAAAAAGCTTTTTTCAAATTGCAGAAAGAAAACTAAAATTATTTTCTTTTCGGAAAAAAAATATGATAGGTTTTACGAATACACACATCAATTTTTCTATTTTTGGAAAAGGAATTGAAAAAATCCGCGGAAAAATTGGAAAAAAACGGTTTTCTTCTAGAATTTTAAAACCATACATTTATTTATGTAATTGCAATTAGAATTTATTTGATACAAGAATTATTAATTTGATTAACTATTTTTGGTTGAGCAAATATTTATTACTATAAGTAAATGTTTATTTAGTACTATTCAAAGAAACATGTAGTAAGATTTAGTAAATTTTCTTTTCAGTGCATTGGCCGCATTCAGCAGAATGTTTATTTTGTAACTGTTGGAAGTTTTCTTCGCACTCATTGAATTGTACTTTTAGATCTAAAAGAACAGTTCTATTATCTCAGCGCAGAAAACTTCCAGTAGTTACAAAATAAACATTCTGCTGAATGCGGCCATTTACTTTCTATTGACGAATGTCCTCATCGTAGATAAAATCCAATTTATAGTATTTAAAGATATCGAAAATCTTAGCAACTGAATATTAATTATAATATAATATAAAAGATATATAAAGATATATAAAGATATATATGGATTTAAATTATTACATTCTTTAACTTCCCACTTGACTTGAATAACCATTCGTCAATTTTGATGTCAAAATATCATCAGTATTTGCAAGCATAGGGAACAGACAAAAATTATCAAATAATTCTCGTTTTATCTCGTAATGCAATTCAGAAATTGTTACAACATGCCTTCGAAATAGCAAGCGAACGTCCTACCTGATCACGTCGTGTAAACGGAAGCCGGGAACGGATGATTTTTTGTCTTATCTCGAACAACGTAGAACGACAACCTGATGACGACGTAAAGCGAGGCGAGCGAGAAAGGAAAGGGGACGGCGTGCTCTTTCCTTGAACTCTCGGATACGAATTCCGCACGCGACTGGCACTGATCGCGAGTAGGAGAGGATCGCCGGCAGGAAAAATGATCACGAACTCGCGCGCGCGCACGTTCAATTTGCATGCAGACGATGTGCGTACCGGCAACTTCACGCGATAGCGGAGTACATATACCGGACGGACGCAGCGGTAACTTCAAGGCGATGCGTGTTTTTAAATGACTGGAGATGAGAGACACACACACACGCGCGCGCGCGCACACGCACGTCTACCTCTCACGATCTCTTTTTTTTGATGTCGTAATACGATGATAATAGGATGAGACGGAAGGACACGCGTCTTAGGGGAGATACACACTTTCGACTCTTGTTCCACGCCACGCGATTTGTCACCGCGAGCCAAGTGCGCGCCCGGGACAGCGAGGTATGCGTCGTATGCGTGCGCGCGCCTGTCGCGTGTCACACAGCCGGTCCTTACCAAGGATGCACCAGCAACGACGTTAATTCCCGGAGCGACTCCGACGAAGGAGCGATCGCGAACGTGTACGCTACTCCAAGCCCCGCTCGGGCGACCGACCGACCGAACGAACGACCGACCGACCAACCCGACCGTACCCGTGAAAGGCGACTGCGACTTCACTCACTCCAACTACTCGTCTACTCCAAGCTCCAAGCGCCGTAACCATCGCAAGAGTGGGGGGGAGCTCCGTTTCGCTCGCGCTCGCCAATAACGCGCAGGCGCGGGCACTCCTTCCCCTCCCGCCCCACCAATTTTAACAGCTATCGTGCGGCGTGCCCGGCGAGAGCAGCTCGTAAAATTGGCGGGGACGGAACCGCGGCAACTTTACGCGTTACTTGCCAGACGACGCCACCGTACGGACATGCTTAAGCTTGCAATGCTTGCATGGTCAGGGCTGTCGCCTGTCGTCACGTCGGCAACGAAATACATATATGAATATATATCGAAGCGTATCTATTTTCGATATCCAGCAATACCTGAAGCCATTAAGAGCGACCGAGTGGAATCGTAGCTTATTTATAAAATCGATGTATATACAAAAGGATGATGCCCACATCATCTCTAGTTTTTTTTATTTTGAGATAGGTATATAAATACCTATGATAAACATGCAATTTTTTTTCTTTGATATAAATTCTTCATGTATATTCTTCCAATATTTCTTTTTTATAATTCAAATTGCTTATGAAAATAAAATTAGTTTCTTTTCTAAAAGAATAAGATACGTACGTTCTAAATTAATATCTTGTATAAATTATTGCAGTAATTTACGATTTGCAGAGAGAGTTTAATACAATTTATGACCAACAAACGTTCTACATTAGAAGCATTGAACTGCTCATGGAAATAAAATTATAGTTCATTCTCTCTTAAAAAATAAAATACATAGCTCCTAAATCAAAATCTTATATATAGTGTCGCAATAATTTTATTTACAAGCAATTTAATAAAATTTATACGACCAACAAACATCTTATATTAAAAATTTTTATGAAAGTAAAATTAAATTTACTTCTTTTAAGTAATAAAATATGTACTTTCTCCTAATTCATCATTTTATACAAAGCAATAGTTCATAACACAGTTTAACTTTGTCTGATAAATGTTTTACATATGGTACAAATTTATGATATGCATGCAAAGTTTAATAAAATTTATCTTTATTATGTATGAAAATGAACGTTTTACATATGGTGCGAAACTGTGTAGGTACAATAAAAATTAAGCTAAATCGTAGAAACAACGAAGTGACAAACATTAAAATTAGAAAGAAAAAAATGAACGGAAATAAAAAATAGGCACGTTTTCATATGTGCAAATCATCAATAAATCATCGGATGTATCGAATCGTTTCTGTATCTATTTTTCAAATTATTTTACAAGAAACGAAGTCAGTCTTCGCTTATTAGCTCGCAAGATAAAAAAAATTTGTAACAGAACTAAACATTCCACAATCTGGTTTTTGAGATGAAAAGCTCATTTAATTTTAGCAGCTCACAGAACTTAATATTCACAAACTCAATTTCATCCATATGTTACACGAGTTTTCTGTATGTAATTAAAACTGTTATGTACAATCGAGTCATATGGTTAAACTTTCAAACTCTGGAATCGTTGCTATTATTATCGAAACCTTATAATAATCTTCGTGATTCTGACAGGAGGAAAGCGCAAGAAACTTGTGAACCGTGATGAACGCGCGAGACGATTTAATATTTAACTAGCAAATTGAAATTTTATTATATATTTTATATGAATTTGGCCAAATGGAGTTTGAATGAAGTTACTTTAAGTCAAAAATTACACTGAAGTTTGCCATTTTTCTTTTCTTATTATAATTCAACAATAAGGAACTATTGATTAGTTGTTCATAATCTGCGGAATTTTATCAACATAAACGTATATATGAAGTTTAATAGCATATTAAATTCATATGAAACAATGAATTGGATTTATTGTGTTGTACGAGATTGTGAAATGAGAGTTATTTGAAAGCAAATTAACAAAGCCTGTCTCTTAGAAGTACATGACGCGATTCAAAACCGAAAATGAGACAACGATGACGGTTTGGTAAAATAATCGTTCACAGTTGTAAATAATCAAACATGGTAATTAAACAGATTTTCATATGTTCTCTGATGTTTTCACAATGTTCAAAAGTTGCAAACTACCAAAGACTTCCGTCATCTCGAGCCATGCTATAACGCATCGCTCGTAACACACTAAAATTTCCTACACTCGGCCTAGAATCCATTCTCTCTCCCTGTCTTGTCCGTTTGTCAATTGTCAATGAACATTTGTCTTTCTTTAACTCTTATTTTTTTATCTATATTAAATTATATCTCAATATACTGTTTTATTTATATATCTATATATATATATCTATGTATATATCACGCCAGTCTCGCCATCGATTTAGTAATCTAGGTACACTTTGTTAACAAGCACTGGACCAACTCTTTCCTCCTCCCGTTTGTCCACGAATCTTAAAATATTCAATGTCAATTATCGCTAAATTATGCTGGCTTCTGCGAACCCTTCTTGCCAATAAGTGATTTGTGGATATGTGGAATAACACCTGCAATCAAACAACAATATACATAAATTTCTTTCTCAAAGGAAGTATGTCAGTAGTATGAAACAGATGGTTGAAAATATAGATTGTAATAAAGAATCCTAAGGGGGAAGGTAGAAGAGTATATAAAGTTAGAAGAGAATAGGAATTAATTAAGACATTCGAAGTAAGGAATGAGTAGTTTTAGAGAAAAGATTATGTAATTAGATGCAAATAGAAGTGCAGAAGAATATGTGAGGCTATAAAGCCTCTCATTTCTTGTAAAACAAGTTCCCTTCTGTTTGTTGAAGTGAATAAAATATTCTATTGTATTTATAAATTTTCTTCTCGTTTTTTCACTGGTATAAATAAAAGTCATAAAAAAAATTAGCAATAAACTACATATGTACAGAAACTTTGAACATTACTACATACAAAATGTTATCCCATAAAGTTGATAATGTTCGAAATTATAAATAATTAAGAATAATTAAATTACGTTAATAATTATAGTTAAACATATAAGCTATATAAAAATTATGAAAAGACACGTACCTCCTCCTGCAATAGTTGCCTTAATGAGACTATCTAATTCTTCGTCACCACGAATAGCGAGTTGCAAATGTCTAGGTGTAATACGTTTAACTTTCAGATCCTTTGATGCATTTCCCGCCAACTCCAATACCTGAGAGCAAACAGAAATTGTAACTGTTTAATGTTAAACCATTCTATAGAAAATAAAATATATTGATAATAGCCATACAAACAATGAAAATAACAAGCCATAAAAATGATTGTCAGTCAAAGTGAATTACTCTCTCGCGTGTACATGGCAATTTTAATTTCAATAAATATATTGCCTTCAATATTAAATATTTAATTAATTTAAAATAAATTCAACTCAAAAATAAAAGCGGGAAAGAGTCATGTTTTTTAGAGACTGCGACGCCACCACACTTGTGATGCCGCGTTTGTAACACGGTTTTCTGCCTATATTTTAATTCTCTCTCTCTCTCTCTCTCTCTCTCTCTCTCTCTCTCTCTCTCTCTCTCTTCTGTATACAATGTCCACTCTTTCTTTGTCTCCTTCTTCTTTCTTTGTCCCCTTCCTGAATTTACGTCAGCATAAACATTATTGCACATTAATTATTTAATTACATTGCATAAAATATAAACAGTTCAATAATTAGATATTAAATAATGTAACTGCGTCTTAAGTCTAATTTTAACTAAATTTACATCAAATTACACTGTTTCCAACTATATTCAAACTGTAATTAACGATTAGATAAAACGTTTTAAGATATTTCTAACGTTTTTGCAAACGCAATGTGTTAATGATAAAAACAATAATACAATTAAATGCATAAATATTTTTCTCACAAATAATCCTGCTTTTCACCGTTATCATTTATAATTATTTATTGTTCGCTTCCTATCTCCTATCTTCTCTTTTGTCGGTTTAAACCGATTTAATTCTTATCTGTATCGATATCTCCTTTCGTTTAAATTTTCAATTGTCAAATTATCAGTTGTCATACGAAATCCTCGATCTTATGAGATTTCTCGGAACTGAATGGAGTCTCGATTTCGGTCTTGGTTACAATATCAGTTACAATCTCTCGCATTCTCTCTCTCTCTCTCTCTCTCTCTCTCTCTCTCTCTCTCTCTCTCTCATACACACGCGCGCGCGCGCGCGCGAACACACACACACACACACACACATACACACACACACATATATTCACTTACCTCGGCCGTAAGGTATTCCAAAATGGCCGCGCTGTAGACTGCCGCAGTAGCGCCTACCCGACCATGACTCGTGGTTCTGTTTTTCAAATGCCTGTGAATTCTGCCTACGGGGAACTGTAATAAGAGACGGTGGTATTAGCCCGCGCTTTTCTCATCCCGGGAAAGCGATTTGACGAGAGCGATAATAGTACCTGCAGCCCCTCGTCACCTCGACACCCAGTATATGTTTCTTACATGTGAGAGCTTGACGTCACTATTACGCGCAGAAATGTATGTAATACGTGTATAGTGATATAAAAAGCTCGGTCTCGAAGTTAGACTTTAGGTTCAGAGCGAAAAGGGAACGACTGTTCGACTATCACGTAGTTATATGGTAAACTTCGTAAACATCATTACCAGCATCCTATTTTCCAGACGCTGTCAATAATATATATACATAAAGTATACTCGACGTCTAATAAGACCGAACAACTTTTGCATTATATCTAAATTAGATGATTAAGGCGCAAAATTTTATTTTGTTGCTTACATTTACGATTGGAAACGATATCCCGAATACGAAAATATTCCGAAGAAATAATTAAAAAATTAACTGAATTTGAAGTTATATTTTTAATTTTATACCTGTAGACATTATATTTTTAAATTTGGATCTTTAAACTTATTTATGTTGAAATGTTTATTAAATGTTAATATTGCCCAAATCTTACAGGAATATTCGAAAAAAATAACGATAGGCAAGACACGAAAAAAAAAACATGTAAATATGAAATAAGTTTTTCCGTAAAATATAAAATAAGTAAAATAACAATGGAATAAGTAAAGCAAATAATGTAATAAATATATCGTTTGTCGCTGACAAACACTAAATGTGATAAAAACATTCCGTAAAAAGACTCAATAATGGTCTCATTATTAAGTAAAACATTCTAGATAAGAGCAATTTCAAATATTTGTAAACTAGAAGATGAAAATAACACAAAAAAACTTATATAAATCTCAACAATTTCGTATTTAAAATAAACTTTCAAATTTTCTGCTCGGAAGATTTGCATCAAGACGCGAATATGAACAATTTGCGATATAAATCGTATTTAAAGCTATGTTCAAGGTTGAATAATTATTTTATACGTAATTAACGAATAATTAGTAACGAATTAAAATTACTTAAATAAAACTACATTTGATCTGAACAATGTTCTCGATGGATTCACTGCATTTAAGAAACGGTTCCCCTATGAATGCAGAAAGTGTTTATTTAGGGCTGCACAAAAGAAATTTAATAAAAGAAAATTATAATAAAATTATAATAAAAAAAAAATAATAAATAAGTCGAAATATTAAAAATTTAAATCACTTAAATCCTCAGAAATATAGCAGAAATATACCCTAAAATCCAGAATTATTTGTTAAAAATTCTTATTATTGCTTAAAGATTAATGCCTGTTCAATTTACTCTTCATTTTTTTCAATTTTTAAAATTCGAAAAAAAAATAAAAATAAATTAAATTGAGATTAAAGTTACTCTACGTTGGTAGGAATGAACATGTATTTTACGATCAACAATATTTCATTTTATGTAGCATTTTGCGACATGCACCGATACGAGATACGAGAATAGAAATCAATAATTCAGTCACCTGACACCACAATTTAATCACCAAATGTTGACATATCAATGATATCGACTTAAATCAATAATTGCGAGATTCTTGAAACTTCCTTGCGCTAGGGCACCTGTATCTTAATTCGCCACTGAGGACGCGTCTAGTGACTTCTGCCGGAACTTTTGCGTCAGTATCGGTCGAACGTTTTCTGGACGGATCAACTCGCGTCTACTATCCATTCATATGACATCCGGTCGTTGTCGGTCACGGCGTCGGTAGCCTCTCTCAGCTCTCGGTCGAGGCGGAATATCGAGCGATAAGCGACAGCATGGATTTCCGCGTAACGTTCCATAACACAACGCAACCGAAATGAACCTCGGTCGTTCCATCCGTCCTCTTCCGCGAGGATCGTCGCCCCGGGAAGTCGTGTCTGCTCGTCGCGGAACGTCCCGGGCACATTCCGCCTCGTCATTTCAACATTCCGCGTCGTTCTCCCCCAAGAGGGAAAAAGAGAGGGAGAAAGGAAAATTCCTGCTCATCTCTCGGCTCTGTTCGCGGAACCGCGCGAATATCAGACCTCGTCCTGTTCTCACGCAACGAATATCGAGCGGTACGATTTGGCTCGCTCTTTCTCTCTCCATCTCTATCCCTTTCGCCCTGCCGCTCCTCTCTCTTTCTCTCTCTCTCTCTCGCTCTCTGATTTTTGGCAGTTTCATCATCCGACGCCTCGAGACGCGTTTGAGAACCTCTCTCTAGCTAGAGCTATCCATCTCGTCTGATGCTCTCTAAAATTCTCTCATTCTCTCATTCGAAGATTCTCCGTGCCGTGTAAGTGGCTAGTTTTCACTCTCCCTCTCCCTCACTCACTCACTCGCTCATTCACTCACTCACTCACTCACTCACTCACTCACTCACTCACTCTCTCTCTCTCTTTCTCTCTCTCTCTCTCTATCTCTCTCTCTCTCTCTCTCTCTCTCTCTTCCCTCTCCTGTCTCAAACGCGGTCGATATTGTTGCACAATAATTTTGTCACCACTGATACCGGGTTCACAATCGACATGTCGAAATGTTCCGTTCCCACAAAAATTCTAACTCATAAGAATGAGAATTTGTATGATGTACAGTAAGTTTGTCAGAAAAAAGTCTAAATTCGAACCATACTCCAAGTGGAAACACAAGCTGTATCTCACGCTCATTTATTACAAACCGCGACTTCAAAGTTTAATCGTCAGCTAAAAGTTTTATCGGATCATGCTGCACGAGTGACACACATTTTTGTTATAATCTTTTGTATTTAATCGGCTAAGATTATTTAATAGCAGAATAATGGCTATAACTTTTTATCTTTCCCAAGACGCGTCGAGAATTTTCACAAAGAGCACCGTTCGACGAGAATTGTAAATAACCGGAAATATCTGGGCTATCGAGACTTGTTGAATATGCTTAATTTTTGCACGATTTCTGGTATGTACTCCAAAGTACGAAGAAAGTATAATTAATTCCTGCTGGCGGAAAGTTGTTTCCGAGTATCGTCTCGCGGAAAAGTGGCTCTAATCTTTCTTTTTAAGAATGTGTGGTATATCGAAGTAATCTTATTTGCCAAATGTTATTGGCGACGAAATTATCGAGCAGGAATATCGATTTGTAATTTCCTAGGAGCCCATTTCCTCACTTGCATTAATATTAAAGCCCAGTTCATCGTCAATGTAAGATTAACTTTAATCTCTATTTAGATTACTCTTTTCTAATAATTAGAATTAGAAAAAAATAAGTTAAACCAAAATTAAATTTAATCTAAATCTATTCGCGTTGATAAAATCTCCAAAAATTTTTGCACATAAAATAAGATAAATATATATTCGGGCATTAAAGAGAAAGAGAGCGAAAATGCTTAGTGCAAAAAAATGCAAGCAACGCGAACAGATATCTGTTCGTAGAAATGAGCATAAAAATTACAAAAAGGTGAAAATTAAGTAAAATTAAAATTAAGTAAAATTAAAATTAATAATAAATCGTTTATTGAAGATTAAAATTAATATATATTGGTAGAAATGAGTATAAAAATTAGAAAAAGGAAAAAACAAGTTAAATCGAGATTATAAATGACATCGATAAAAACTGATCTAAATCAGCTAAATGTAAGCATATGCGATGCTTGTAAACAAAGAAGATTCGATCGTATTCAACACGACAAAGATTTTGCTCATCGATGTGATACTTTGAACAGGCATTTTTAGTTAACATTTAAACGAGCGTGATTACAATTGAGAATTTTAATCACAATTGTGGAAACGCATGTCGATTAATATATCAAAAAATCGACTAGAACTTTCAATAAACAGCGATAACTAACACCAATTCACTTAATCGCGGTCATGAATTTTTTATTTTTTTATTTTTTTCGAGAGGACGTAACTTTCTGTAAATCTCTAATTTTGTTAAAACGTATTATATTTAAATTAAACAAAAATAAGAGAACAGTTTTTGTTTGAACAAAATATTTTTATTCAAAAAGCACCGCTGCTTTCATTTTAATTCATCTGATGATGAAAATAAGATACTTTTAATGTTTAATTATCAAATTACTTAATGCAGATGGTTTGCAATAATAACAAACCGAACCAAATACGATGTGAATTTAAACTCAATAAACAGATCATGATTCATTTCGAAAAAAAAATAAATAAATAATAAATAATGTCATCACTCGCTACGTTTATTTCCGTCCTATATTACGTAATTTCAGTTTTATTCAACGAAATTTTGTTGCATCACGGGGGTGCATTGACACTTGATACCCACGACGCTCGTTGAATATTTCATCCTTATTCATCAAATGTTAAGCAAAGATAATCGCTCGTCGAGCATTGTGAGAGTCAAATAGAACACACCCTGATCGTCAAATTGCATCAACGAAAATTGCATTCCGCATCAAATGGGCAACATTCCTCGCATGATTATGGAGAAATGAATGAAATGTACCGGGATGATATTTTCAAAACGTGCTCTTTATTAGTTGGTAGTAAATAATAACCCAGTATAAACGACAAACGATCGATTGAAATATCCGACAATTAGAAAGCAACATCACCCACGCAACGATGTATCGCGATCGAGGAAAGATGAAGATCGGTATTTATAATCAATTTTTATATTTAAGACTGTGTCTTAAGTACAGTCTTGAGATACAAGCCAATCACAGAGCAGTGTATCTGAAGGCTGTATTTAAAAAGTTGTCTATATGGGAATAATATGAGGTGTTTTCCATTTGATGACAAGTCTCGACACAACGTTGTTCTCTCTTTGAATGTTAAGGATAGCTTGTGTCGACTTGTGTTATCAAATGGAAAGCACCCATGGTGTAATAAACTATATATAAGAAATATGCATAGGAAATCGACCAATCGCAGTCAAACGTGAGAATGATCTGTGATTGGTCAACGTCTAACAGCTGACGGTTTACTACACAATATTACTTCCATTGTAGATGGAACCATAAAGAGTTTGTCTACAATAGATCTGTTCGCGCTGCTTGTACCTTTTGCTCTTGTACTCTGCATCCCGCGCTTTTTCTCTCTTCATTGCCTCACATATATTTATCTCCTTTTAGTGGAAAAATTTTGGGGAATTTCAAGCAACATGAACAAACTTATGATGTAAATTATAACAGTAAGAAATCGAATAATCACAATAAAAAATTAGAATCGACTATAATTGGTCAATTTCTTAAAGTTTCTTTAATGCTACACAATATTCCTCCCATTGTAGACAGCCAATAATAAGATCATCTTAAACATAAGTGAAAATTGGCGATTCAAATTCGCAATTCTCGCGCCTCCTCGATCGGCCGTCCGATGCGGAACCATACGATTCCTGTCCCGTCGACGCGACGGGGAGCTTAAGTCGGCGAATAAACGCGACGGCACGCACGATCGATGGACAACCGCGCGGTCGCAACGAACATAAATACGATAAAAACAAGCTCAGCCGCGCGAGTATCGATGACAATCGTCGGTCGTGTCGGTCGCGAGACGATCGCTCAGGGACGGACGAGGAAACAACAAATAGCGAACGGAACTACGCTTTCGGCTTGTGTCAGTTGGAACGTTCGGACTCGTCCGTATCAGTCTGCAAAGTTGGGAGTTTGCACGACCGCCGATTCGCGGCAAAAATTTATTCTCGATTTACAGCGGGTCGCCGGGCTCGCCGCGAAGCTAAATAATCCCGCCGAAATGATCCCGGGCAGTGAGAAAGAGAAAGGAAGGGACGATCCGGAATGCGAGGAAGCCGGTCGGTCACGTTTGAAAATTATCAGCGTACGACTCGCAACGAAATTCGAAAAATAAACCGTTCCAGGGACGTTTCTCGAAGATTTGGCGTGGCGTGGGTAGAGCGAGGTACGCGATATCGCGACGCGTCCGTAACGACGTGTCCAGGCACGCGATGTGCCATGGAAAACCGCTTCGCTGGCTGCGGTCTCGAGAGTCGGCCGGACTTTTCGCGCCACAACCATGATGATTTAACCTGCAAAGCCGCGAGAGCGCACGAGATGGAGAATGCGAGGAGGTCCAGAGAGATGCCATCGGGGAAAATACGCGTTATTGTCCGGGAAAATCGATCCTTCGTCGACGTATGTTAGCCGCGTCGAAACATCTCACACGACTCACCTGAAGGCCGGCCCTAGCCGAACGCGAGACCGCCTTCGCCTTTGCCTTGCCAGAGTCCTTGCCCGCCTTACCGCCAGCCTGTTCAGACACGAAAATCACAGGTTAATTCGCAAGATCCAGCCGCGAAACTCCGCCAGTCGATGGAGGAGGGTCCGCGGCGTGCGGGGACGCCGACAGTAGGCACGGATGGCCGTCGTACGCGTCAAAAACTCGCGGATACTCACCATTGCGCGACGTGGATATTCGACACTTCACACAGCACGAAAGACTTACGAGCAGCCACGAACGACGCCGTCTAAACGCGACGAGCCCGCCAAATGCGCTTGGCGCTGCGGGCGCGTCCCGCGGTCGTGCCACGTGACCGGCCGTCAACCAATAGAGGCGAAGCCTCTGCGGAGGTGCGAGACGCCGCCTGGCGGCCAACTCATCGAGTTATTGGTCGAGGCGATAAACGATTCTCGGCTCTCGGCCCGTGCCGTGCGCATCACGCGCACCACGCGTATGCGCCAACGATTCTTGCTCGCCTCCTCGCCTGTCCCGTGTATATATAACTATGTATATGTTATAATACGTCACGTCGCGTCGTCGTTTCAACGATAGGTCGTATGAATAAAAATGAAGTAAACAGAGACATAAAAACGATACGTTGTAACGCACTTGCGCGTGTCACGCTATCTAGAGATCAAATATTCTAATCGTGCTTAACTGACGACAATTCTATATTATTTTAAATACATTGCAATGAGATATATTGTAACGATCAGTATTATGTTTGCTATGTTTGCTACGTTGCTGAACATATGGCATACGAAATACGTTAGAATTGATTTCCTTTTCCTTCCGTATATCAGTCATCGTGTTTTTCTTTCATTCTTTACGATATACAAAACAATTTCTTTTACAATACCAAGCGAAACAAATCATTGTAACATCAAAATTAATGTCATTATTAAAATTTATTTTTCAGTTATGTTTCATTATAACGTCATTTCGGCATGATTTGTTTTGCTTGGGATATGTTTTTGATTTTTATGCATATGTAGAAAAAATAATAAAAACAGAGCACGAAATAATGTATACATTATTGCATGTATAAATTATTGATTATAAATTCACAATTGTGCATCAGATGGAATTACATCGTAAACAAACTGCCGCGTTCTTCACAGTTACAGTCAATAATATAATATCGCATAACAATATTGTATTTTCTCAACAACAATATTTCGATCCTGCATTCTCGCGGTACGATATGTTTGCCAAATGTTATCGCTGAAATATATGTCAATAATATAAAATCATTGTATAACAATATATATATGTTAATTTACAACTATATTATTATATTGTTAATTAAAGATAGATCTTAATTTACATTTCGGAAGAATTACGTTTAATAAATATAAAAATGTAAAATAATAAATATCTGTTGTAAAATATTCTGTAATAATTAATATTAAATTAGAAGTTAAACGGATGTGACCTTATAAACAACACAGGAAAAGGAAACATAATATATGAGCTCAATTTATGAGCTCAAGAAAATGGCAGTGAGAGAGAGAGAGAGAGAGAGAGAGAGAGAGAGAGAGAGAGAGAGAGATGTGTATTACATGACATCACAAAACTCGAATAGTATTACTTCTCTTTATTGACGAAAAAAGGCAGTGATTTCATTACAAAAAGTCACATATAGAAAAATCGTGCACTACAAGGCTGCAAAAATTATACTATAAGAAGCACGAACGAGTCGGCCATTTTCATGTCGAATCCTCTATGATAATATAGCACCGGCAATATCCTTTCTCGGAGGAAGAATTTCCATGTTTTATCTAAGTCTTTACGTGGCTGATTGTCGGACGGCGAAGCGAACGTTTCGCGGATTTTCTATGGAGTGATTATGAAATGGCAAATAATGATGTAAATATCCACCCCTGTGACGCTATTCAAACATTTCGGAATCTGCGCGTTCGTCGATAAAATATCCTGCTGCGTTTATTTTTAGCCTCGCGATTGGACATATTACACGAACGAATCTGCCTCTCCCTTCGAGCTACGGATGACGCATTCCTTCTATCCGCAGCCCGAGCAAGTTTTCATTTATATGTTCATAATTGAAATACGCTTTTGTATGTTATCCAAATTCAAATCATCCGAATGATGCTCGTAATAGAAATTACTTTCGTAATTGTTTCCCATAAATTCCTCTGTTTGCTTCCGAACGGAAATTTTCTACGTTTACTCGTGAATCATTCAGTTGACGCTTAAATTCGAATTAATTGCATCATGTGATTCCAAGTATCGAAGAGGATCGACGAGCGAGAGCGTTCGATTACGCGGAAATTCGAATTTCTCCCTGTCGGATCGGACCGTGATCGGCTCGTGATCGCGAATTCCGTTGTTTCGAGCGATGATAATTACGCCTGTATTATTGAGGCGTCGAGTTGTCTGATGTCGGTTAATTGTCGGTTGGCAGGCCTCGGGTGCCGTATCAGCATCGACGACGATGCCTCTCTCATCCGCGCGGTATCGACTCGTCGATGCGCGCGGGACCTGCGCGCTGGCGCTTCCATGCGCGCGCGCGCGTTGGCGAGGATTTTTCCCGCCATTTTTCCCCAGCCGCCGTCTCTCATCCAGTCTCTCGCCGACTCTCGCCGTTCCTCTGCCCTACCCTACCCTGCGCGTCACCTGCGTCCTTCGCGTCTTCCCCGATTATTCCCGAATCCCGCTCGCCGTCCGCTATTGTGCTCGCCTCGCCTCGCGTCCCATCCCGCATCGCTCGCGCTAATGTTGTCCTTCTTATGCTGACTTTTCTGGACTTTGCAAGCAACAATACGTTGCAGCAGCAAGATGTCATGCGATTCAAATTTTCAAAAACTAATTGAAAGTATATCTTTCATAAAAAATTTTTTGATAATAATAGCTTAAATAATAATTTTGCTGTCACAACGGTGCGACAAAGTCACAGACTCCGGCTCGAATTCTCTAGTATTGCTCCTGGTTTGCCTCCGCTAGCTCGTCACATTTTTCTTCTATGTCGTCCTGAAATTGTCATTATTATCATTATTGACATTACAATTGAGAAAATTATTTAATATTAATTGAATGTTTTCGTCAAATATAAAATGGGCTTGATGTCTTCAAACATTTCTTTAGGCATCTTTTATATCATACGGAGAAAAATGTCTTGATTAAGCTAATAAAAGGATTTAATAAGAATAACATTTTGATGAATCCAACATTGAATTTCTAGTTCTTTTCAAGTCTTACTCAGATAGCACAGAATATTTATAATAAATATTCATAAATATTTATATTCATAAATATTATATAAATATTTTATACATACTTCATATAAGCTTTATTCGAAAACATTATTGAAATATAGACTACGTA